AACCATTTGCAAAGAGGAAAGATAAGGATAGATGATTGATATGAATTATCAAAACCCACATCTAAACAACAGCAATCATACATTTATGCCTTTATTTACACTCCTGCAAAGATAGAAGTAAAATAAAGTACAAAGGTAAATACTACACAGATTTGCATCTCTCTCTCTCCTCTCTTTCGCAAGTTGAATATTGCTAGCTCGTTGCACATCAGGGGCGCCGAGAATGATTTTTCTCGTTAGACTCCATATGAAGTGGCCAGAAGTCTGAGGATATTCACCTTAGCTTCTAAGAGAAAGATGTAATTAGCAATCTCTTGGAACATGGTTTCTGGGTTGCTGCTGTTAATGATGCATCCCGGGATGAGGTTCTGGAGCTGCATAAGTTTCCTTTCTATGGAAGATTTGGCTGCCTTGGAGTTCCTAATCAAGGAAAGCCTTAGCTTTCTCTTCTTGGACCCAACTCTCCATATTGAACTCCTTGTTCTCATTTTTTAGTGTGTTTGAGAGAGAGAGAGAGAGAGAGAGAGAGAGAGAGAGAGATAGAGAGAGAGAGAGAGAGAGAGGGAGAGAGATGCATTCATAAGGGGGGGTAAAGGGGATGTTTATACAGGCCAAAACGAGACACTTCACATCACTCATCCTGTATTGCATTCTGACTATTCTAATCATCTTAATTTATCACATGATTCATTGGTCCTACAAGTTTTCATGAACCTAATCCTCCAACTTTTACATAAATATGTACTTGCATAAAACTTGCATCTATTCTATTACCAATTCTGAGACTAATTCATCAAAATTAATAAAAAATATATATATAAACAGTTTATTTATTTTTCCATCTAACACTTCACTTAGTGGTATCTCTCTTTTAAATGTTGAAAGATGTCCCAAGTTCGAATGTCCCCTACTCACAAAAAATAAAGTAGTTTATTTTCAATCTTATTCCTAAATTCACTTGCTTCGATTTCGCCCTCTTAAATGTTTACTAACCCGGAATTTGTTTAATAGTCATGAAATCAAATATAAATGCATAGATATATAAGCGTCCTAACTATTGCCATATGGTCTTTATGTCCTCAACTGACGTGCGCCTATAAATCTTTTTCATGCATACTAATATGCGGGCACGGAAGATCTCATCTTGGGATCTTGAGTAGTCGTCACTTCGTACCCTAAACGAGTAACCCTACTCACTGTGAATCCAAGACCACACATTTTTCACATTGAAAGGGAAAACATAACTATATATAAACCTAACAAGACAATCTCCATTGTTGGGGGAAATGTTGAGGAGAGAGAACTGTCAATCAAACTGTCAATCAGCCATCCAATCCAGCATTCAATCAAAGCAAACACAATGAATATTATTGGGTTCGAAAAATGTGAATAATTGTACGAGCATGAAACCAAACTGTATATGAAAGACTCTTGATATCTTAACATCATCCATTCTCTAATCCTTGGAAAGGTGAGATGGGTAAGTCTTTATTTTGGAAATTTGATGGGTGGAGAAAAATACATTTAAAGTGTGACTCCACTTTACATATACATCCACAAAAATGTTGAAGTCGGACGTCTAAATTACAGAATTTCAGTGAGCATTTGTTGGCGAAATATTTCTCTTTGGAAATTTGATCTCATAAAAAAATTGGACAGAAACTTTACTCACATTTCTAAAGATCTTATCTCAAGACAAAGCTGGCAGGAACATGACCCCACGATCCTAGAGATTATAAAACTCGTACTATATTTACTGTTTAGTTTTTGTTTTTGAGTTTGATCCCCAATTTCATTAAAAAAGAGAAGCTGTCATTAAAAAGAAAAAAGAAAAAAAAGAAACAAGAACATTCCCTTATTTACAGACCACATATAAATCCAAAAATATTATCTTGTCAAACCGTCTTAATTTAAATTATTGATTAATTATTGTCTAATTATGTGATTGAGATGTGTGTACAATTTGATAAGACTGCATAATTGCATGCATATGCACAAACTTGATGGCAAGAAGATATTTCAACTTTTCACTCGGGATGGGTGTTGGGTCAACTCCTCTATAAATAACGATTTAATTCCTTGAATAGACTGTTACCGACATGGCAATCTTATTGGCCGTGGGGAGTACTTCATATTCACTTCAGCAGTCCTCTCCAACTTTTACATCTCAACTCCCGAAGAAATATTTTCGAATCTGTCACTGGCCATAATGTTCAAACTAATGTGCCATGCTTAGGAGAGAAATTTTCGTGTAACGGGGATGTATTTTTGGTTATTTTTGGTCGTTACCGTAATAAAAGTACTATTCTTGTTGTATGTAAAAAAATTTACATGCTTAGTAATGCGATATTTAAGTAGCCTTTGAATCGGAGGGAACTTTTTATTTTAAATATATATATTTTTTTTTACAAATGATAATGTAGATTATTATAAATTATTTTAATATGCAAAGAGAAAAATTCAAACAGAAGTTCAAAGAGAGGACTGATTGCCCTAACCATCTAACCTAACACGCATATGCGAAAGCTGAAAGTAATGACCAAGTCAAAAGGCTGAACCAATCATTCATGTATAATGTGGTGGAAGTATTAACTACCATGGCTTGACTAGTTACTCTCCTTGGGGGAGAGAGAGAGAGAGAGAGAGAGCTTTACAAAGTGCCGTGCGTATTTGTATGTGGACATGAAAAGGTCTTTTTCTAACGTGGGGATTCCTGATAGAAAGCCAACAAACCAGCCTAGCCCAGAAAAAGATTGATGGACTTAATATAGCATTATTGTTGTCCTCCATTTGTGTGTGGGGGTTCCAAATTTAATGCCACGCACGTGCAAGCTTGATAGGCTACTGTTGTGGCTACATTTATCCCTTTTAGGCCCAATTGCCTTCTCCTCTTTCCCATCACTTGCATTATTATGGTTGATTATGGACCATAAGGTTTGATTTATATATTATTCATGCCAGAGCTACCATCCGCCCTTTTTTCTACAAAAATATTATGTCTTGCAGTATCATTATCATTTGCCTGTCCCTTTCCTACTCTTGTTGGGGCCTATATATCCGGCCTAGACTCTATGTTACGACGAAGGTTCTTACAACTTAGTCACTTTGTTTTATATCAGAGAAGGTTTCATGAAATTTACGGTTAAGATAGAACTTAGGATTAACCACATAAATCCTAAATCATCGCCCATTTGTAGATGGCTACTGATTCTTTTGCAATGCCAATGCTACCCTTTGGGGCGGGACGGGAGCATGTGGGTCAGATCGGAGTTGAGGGATGTTGTTGGTGATAATAAAGAAGGGAAGGCTAAATTTGCGGGGCTGCTCCAAAATTGGGGCCCTCCAAAATAGGAAGTCCTATGCAATGGTACCACTTGCATGTAGCACTCCAGAACCAGCCCTAAATAGGGGCATGTTGTTTGGATCAAAGTTGAGGTGGATAATCAAGAAGACGAGGTTGTCCTTAGAGGCTGGGGGCATGTGGGTCGGATCGGATCGGAGTTGAGGGGGTGAGGGGTGGAGTGATAATGAAGAAGGGGAGCGCGGGGGGAGGATGAGTTGGGGAAGAGGTGTTGAGCGTGTGGTTGTGACGAGTGTTATAGATTCCCTCTTTTGAGTAAATTTAGGTTTTAGCCACAAAAAAAATTTTACTTTTGGAAAAAGTCAAAACTTTAAAAAAAAAAAACATAAAAACCTCTCAACTTTCAAATCAAATACATGCAAATGTAAATGATTCCTTAGGAAATTCAAAAATAAATAAGGGTAATTTTGTCTATTTTTGCTTTTTTTACAAAATTTCTCTCTCCTTTGTGTTTTTCCAAAGTCTCTCTTTCTTTTGTTAGGTCATTTGTTTTTGTTTTCTTATGCTTTGGTTATATTTTAAACTATGTATAAAGATGTAATGTTTATCTCCACATATAGCACCAAAAAAGTCCAAATAAGCATAAAAAGTGGGACCTACAATTTTCACATAATTATCCAACAAGTATTATTATTATTAGTATTGTTTTTTTATGCGGAAAGAAAAATTACAACCCGAAACCTCTCGGACGTGCATGCCCAAAGAGATCAAAAAAGAAAATAGGCACTACATATAAAGAACACCCAACCTCCCAAAAGGAAGGAAGGGAACATCCCATGACCTAAGTTGGCTAAAGCATCAGCTAGAAAATTGGTTTCTCTAAACACATAATAATGGAATCACAAAAAGAACTTGAGTTAAATGTAAGTTTCGTTTGAGTTTAGGTATAAATATTTAAATCTTAAAAAAAAAAAAAAAAAAAAAGGAAAAGGAAAAAAAGAGACAAATTTGAAATTGACTTCATAACTTGAAGGATTTTATGTAGTTAAAGAATTGGATATGGAAACTCATGAAGACATGCCAAAGAAGAAATAAAGAAAATTTTCCAAATTGGAATAAAATATGAATTATTCATGAAAAAAACTTCTTTTTTTTTTTTTTTTGGTCATAAGTTTTATTCCATTTTATCCTCACAAAATAGTAAGAAATCAACCTTAATCCTCCTTCTACATGACATATTTACTGATTCATAATCAAAATCCATTACTAAACTCTAAACAGATTACTAATCCCTAATCGGAATCAAAATAAGAAGTTTGATTTCAATAATTAATTACTCGTGTGTTTACTTAATATAAAGGAATAAAAATGCAAGTAGAATCCATACAAATCAGGAATTCAACTCCTCATTTGGAGGAATTAGACTTTTGGATGGGAGGTAGTATTCTAAATCTTAAAGAATTAACCCATCAGGAATTCATATTTTTTACCCATTATATAATCACACAAATTTTAAAATTCCAAATTTCTCATCCACTTTAACCCAACAACAAGAGCACTTTAATAATCAAATTGGTTTCAATTCCAATTCATGGAAATTTAGTAAACTTAAGTAATCTGTACCATTTCTACCCGATTTCAAATGGTTGAGTAAAACAACTTCAATAAAAATCTAGATTCCGACTCCTTTGATTACGGATTAGTAAACATGTCATAATACTAATGAGTTACCCAGTCCAATCATGATGTACGCTTATCTGTTTAAACAATTATACTTGACTCATAGTTTTGCACGTGTCATAACAATTCTCACATGCAATAACAATTCTCAGTGCATGTTCCCATCGCATGTGGGTGTTCTTAGACGTATCCATGTCAGATCAAACATCACACGTGAAGGGTCGATGTGTCTCCACGTGTTGTTTCATTTCATAAGCCGGTACTAGTTATCCATCTACTACTAGTGGACATGAAAAGCATTGGTCTGTCATGCCCAAATATTTACCAATTGACTGAGCTCTGCATTCTTAATTAACTTCATCGTTTGCATGAGCCATGGTAGAACTGAAGTACTATTAGAAGCTGCTTATGACATCAAGAATTTTGAGCTACTTTTGAGAAATTCTAATTCAACAGACAACCAAATAATACTGCTAGATAAGTTACAGGTTACCTGACCACTGATGAGCTGTCCCGGCCTCATATGATCAGCAGTTCAGTTTTGACAAGACGACCTTCATATCCCCGCCACGGGGATTTCATGTCAAGTCTAATCATACTAAAGTTCACTTCCTCTGCAGTAGCTTTCAGTATGGAAAATCTCCAATTCCAATCTGTTTGTTGTGCCAGTTTTCATATCTGTGCATACGTAATTCAACAGGGGAAATTACACCACAAAATCTAAAAGCAAGTGCTTGTTGACGTAACTTCTAGCAGCCAATTATCTGTATTCCTCCGGAATTTGAATGGGGCTGCGTTAAAAACACCCTGCAACAGCAAATTGTCCTTTAGACAGCAACTTCCATCTGAGGGACCCCGTGCCGAACATGGCCAAGTTTGATCAAAGACCTTCAAACAGTAAATACTCATCATACAAGCTCACGACAACAGGCTTCATTATCGTATTATAACATTCCTTAGAAAACATGACCATGTCTAATTAAACGAAAGCATAAGCATCCTAATTACAACAATGCCTGTACATTCCAGTTATTGAAACTAGTAATGGATTCCTTATGCTTTCAGTCAACAAGCTTCCTTAGGTGCGATCTGAGCAGTCCTTTCCCTGCACCACATAACAAAACAAACACCTCAGAGATCGACGCAGATACTATCTAGCATCAAGTAAACTATAAATGATTCTGAACAGATCAAATATCTTCAAAGGCCCTATCTTTTCCAGAGATAATTCCAGAGACAAGTTAAACAGTACGGTATACTCATCCTCTTACAATAAACTACATAACCTAATACCCATTCTCAAGTACAAATAATATAAGATGCAATCCTATCCATATGATGCAACCATATCCATAATACATGACTCTTGGTGCAAAGAAACAAACAGGTACATGACAAATACATAAAATCTACAAAGCTAGGTCGTAGCTTCCCACATTGCAGTATGGTTTTGCTGTTAAAATGGAGTTATACAAAAGAATGCAACTGCCTGCAGGACTATGAACATATCATGTGCTAAAAAGGTGACCTGACATCGATGATGAGCGACAGCTATGGTGAACCACATGCTTCACTGTTTCCTTGTGCTCTACAGATTGCTGCTCTGAAAGGAATTTTTCAGGAAGACAGCCCTTGGAGGCTTGATCCTCTGCTATCACATTTGTAAACCGTTCATTTGATTTGTTGTATTTTAAAAATAATTTCCTCTCTGAATTGGCCATGGTGACGACCTTCTTAAGGTACTTTGAAGACCCTGAAATTCAAAAGATTGGGACAAGAAGAATAAGGATATTTGTGTAACATATAAAGATTGACTACCAAGTTGGCAAAAGGGAAAAGAACCGAATAGAACACCATACTAAAACCATAAGCAATGGACATATGTTATTACAATGTTATGTATCTGGACAGCAAATCAACTTGGCAATAAAGCACACCAGAATGTAAGATATTTCTTGTTTACTTATTAAGTTACTTGTGTCATCTCCAACTAAACCGAGCATGAGTTTAGTAAGTTGGTGCAAGATAGAAAAGTTGTATTCTCAAAACTGCCAAAAAACATAAATAATAGTGAATTGATATTTGTTAAATGGTATTCTGGCGGTGGCTCACTGTTCTAATTATTTTTTCCCTCCAAGCTTACCAAAGAGGAGGAAAACAAATGGAAGCAGAGTCTCTATTTTGACAAACAGAATACTGTTTGAGTGCTCAGTAAAGAGTAGACCAAACATCAGACTTTTGCAACTTGTATGCTCACTGTGATGCATATTACATTACATATCCATTGCGCACCTGAACCCCTCAGTACCTCACAAGTTTAGGTGATTTTAGTTGCCAGAACCAACATACTAAAAAGTAGATTTCTGGCTACAATACTGCTTCCTCCTCAACGCTTAAGGTCCCCTGCTTGATGTCTATCTACGGTTATCCCTTCCGTGTTTTCAATGCTCAAGCCTTCCAATTCAAGGAATGCTGAGCAATCCTGACTGCCTGTTCTACATGAAGTTCTAATGCATGGGTTCGCTCACACATGCAAATCACCGGCAGCTACCCTTAGCATTTCTCTAGCATTGATTTATCTCACGAAAATAAATTTTTTATCAAAAATTGCCAAAACATGGGATGGACAGATAGAATTTCAATTTGATGAGAGTTTCAATCTCAAAGGTGTATAAAAATAAAACAAAAATAGAAAACAAAATTCTAAGCATCAGCTTTGTCACTCCCTGAGCCACTGTCAAGGTCTCACATCTTTGCGAGGTTGCCTTTCCTGTGTATAAATTATTATCTGAAAGTTCTAGGAAACCACAATCTAAATTGCAATATAATCCTATATGCTTACAGAATATAGAACCATCAAAAAACCTATGGCAGAGGCACCAACATAACTCATATTTTATCATAGCATAACTCTGAATATATTTTGTTTATACCATATCTGACCAAACCCTCTCAACTGGACACGTGGAATGAATGGCCCACAGAGCAGAAGCAGACATGGCCCAGCTCAGTCACTGGAACTCGTAACTACCATCAGCAGGGGTGAGCCCTTGGCAACCTCACCTGCCGATTCGGCTCAATGAAGGTACCTGCCATGCCACTTTCATGTGGACACGTTACGACCCCTAGGGCTATGTCCACAGTCCCACATCGAAACTATAACCTAGGGTGCTCCACCCCTTTTGCCTATAAATAGGGCTCTTGCACCAATGCACAAAGTAATAGTAAACTTAGAGAACTCTGCCCAATTACTTATCTTCTCTATCCTTAAGCTAACTTTAGCATTGGAGAGCCTTCCGGTACCACACCTTTGCCGAAGGGGCCACGCGACTGAGGCAGACCTTCTATAAGTTGTGTCCAATTTTGGGCATCAACATATTTAATGGTATCAAAAGCACGCTTAGCAATTGATGCTGCTTTTGCACCAATGGTTCCTCATAACTTGACCCCATCAATTGATTCTTATGTTAATCACCCAATCAAACAGGAAAAAGGTGAAACTCTATTGTGAATGCCAATAAACTCAGTAAGGCTCCAACGACATACTTCAAATCAGTGTCTAACTTATATCTAGGCCAACTGGGTGTACCTGGATGCATTTCAAGAAAAGGCCTACATCAGGTAAACACCACCCAAAAGTTCAGCTAATTGAAGTATAAAAACGACATTTTTAAGAGTTTCTTCATTTTTAACTCCACTCTAACTGCAGAAAACACCAAAGATTGGCATTGCCACAGATGTATTTTTTTTTCCAACTTTTATACACACACACACAGGCACACGCCCATGTACATATGCCTTCTAATAGATGTTCTTTCGATTAAAAGGTTGGTACCACATTCTCTACAAAACCCAAAAAATTCCAAAAGTTAATAAGAAAAGCAAGAGATTGTTGGCCATCTCTCCTGCCGTTCAGAAAACGGTAACACACATGCACAGACACTCATAATAGTGTCAAGATCCCCTCCAGGTAGACCCAGCTTAGGTAGAACTGGGTCATAAATATTTTCCTTTTACTTCTTTTAGAACTTGGCTGTAAAATCTTTTAATAACTTTACAGTGATAAACATTATGACTACAGCCACTCATCCTATAAATATGATTATTTTCTTGACACCAACGTAAGTACCATAAATTTACAATATCAAGTAACATGCTTCATAACTCATTTTGGAGCCCCAAGTCATATTTACTTTCGACTAACCTCTTCTTACTTTTCTTTTTCAATATAATTTTGACCAGTCATACTTCACCAGCTCCAAGTTTTTAAAGTATAAATTAAATAACCGCCACCACTCCTAACATCTTAAGTTGCTATGCTTGATCACATGCATCAAACATGATTCACACATGATTTTGTTTGGCTGATTAAGACAACTTTCATGGGGAATCTGCAGAAAAAATTGATTTTTCAAGTTGAGATAAATATAAACTAAGCACCAAATTGTGGAGTTTTTGGGTAGGAATAAACTAGTGATACTTGGCATTATATAACAGTATAGATACATTGCATCTCAAATAGATTAGTTGGGTGCAAAAACCACTGAATCACATATGTAATGCCCATTTGCATTTCTGAAAGCTGTATCAATCAATTACTTCCTAGATTCTACCAATTTGGACTGTGGAATCATTTACTAGATTTCATAGGCATTGTTTCTCTTTTTTCTTGTGGCCTAATAAAACTCTAATTTGCTTTCGAAGAACACACAGAACTTTCTTGAGATCAATTCAACACGTCGCCAGATCCTTATCAATGAAACAGACTAAGCCTCTTAAAATACAGATCTCCTTGCCCACACTGAAGAATGAAAATATTTAGCTAAGTACACCATCACAAATATAATCGAACCTAGTTTTACATTTCCAGGCCTTAGTTTTGCAAAGGTGTTTGACTTAATGATTGTATCACAAATTATGAAATTAATAACCATCATTGCATCCATAAAAGAGCTTAATCTGCATATTCTCAAACACAAATGTTTAATAAACTGTGTTATAGAATTTGTAGTTTAGAACTAAAGTGCTCCCTACTAGTTTATGATGTAGGATATGGGTGAATTGAGTATTTAGGTAATTTAGTGGAAGCAAATGGCTTCACACCAAAAGAGTTTTGGCTTCACACCAAGGAGTCTCCAATCTCTGGAAAGTAAACTTTTCTTAATATCTCAAATCTCAACTCCACAATGAATTACATGAGAGGGGTATTTATAGAAAACTAAAACCTAGAGACAAAGGATAAAAAGTCCCTTGTTAACACAGAAATTCTAACCTAAATAAAATAGGAAACTTAGAAATCCTACTAAATTCTGGAAAACTTATAGAACAAGTTAGAAACTAATCGCAGGAATAAAAAATTGAAAGATTTAAAAACCCAATTAAATGACTTCCTCTTCCATCTCTTTCTTTTGTAAACCCTAATGGGTTTGACAAAGATGTCCTCATCAGTTTATTCTTTAGGTTTGTGTGCTTAACTCCATTGCCCCTTTACAGTGCGCAATTGACACCAAAGCACAGAAAATATTATGAGACAAAATAAAAAGGCCAAAAGATAAAGACCCTTCTAAAACTGGAAGAACAATATGGTACAAATTAGAATTGAAAAGGAAAGAATATAATAGGAGAAATAGTACCTTTAGGAGGGCTACTAGTACTGGCTGATGGAGGTGAAGCAAGCAGGGGAGCATACATGTAAGAGTCAGACTTCAGATAGTCCCCAACCTTCTTCAGCAACCTCTTGTTGTTTCCTTTAATGGGTTTCCTTCCCTCCACTCCTAAGAATACAAAAAACCACCCAATTGAGCCAAATCTTCAAAACCCATACACCACAGAAGCCATAAATACTATAAATACTACAAACAGTAAAATCCCAGAACAGAGTTGAAAGAAAAAGAAAATTATACCTGTAATAGAAGCTTTTGTCTTCATGGGTGAGCTAAAGCCGTGAGGTGGATGGGAAATTAGAGGAGCAAACATGTAAGAGTCAGAAATGAGAAAGTCTATGACTTTCTTTAGCAGTTTCTTCTTATTACGATTAATGGGTCTTTTCTTTTGAACTTCTAACAACATTTTCTTCACCATCATTCTTTCCTCTGGTTTTGGTTTTCGCTGTGGCTCGGGTTTCGGGAACAGAAGCGTTGGCTTTAGTTCGAACATTATGGCGGTTGGGAGTGTTATGAACAGGTGTCTGCTAGTTAGAGCCTTTGGCGTGTCGTTTTGGCGCAAGGGGTGGAAAGCAACTGCGACGTGTGGCAATGAGAAAGACCTTGCATTTAGGAAATTTAGAGGGGTGGCAATGGAATGTTATAAATTTCGAGTTATTTACACTAAAACCCAGTGAGATTTTTTATTTTTTCACAAAAACCCCTAAGATTTCAAAAATTATACGAACACCCTTTGAGGTTTCATATTACCCGTTTTCGTTAATTGTTCGTCCACAAATTGATGATGCAATTCGAAAAAACGCATGCAAATGACAAAATTAACCTCAATGAAAAGCTAACTCTATCATTTGGAGAAATCTTTTATATATAAAATCATCAATCTTTAGATGAAAAATTTTGTAAAAATAATTTAAAACCTTAGAGGGTGTTCGTATAATTTTCAAAACCTCAAGGGGTTTTGTGAAAATTCTGAAAACCTCAAGGGGGCTATTAGTGTAAATAACTCTATAAATTTAAAAAACTAAAAACTTTTTTGGTAACTAATTACAGTTTTAAAAAGTGAAAAGCGGACAAAAGTGGTTTAGTAACTAATTTCAGTTTTATGTGAAACTTGGAAATTAAATTTTTTGGGGTCAAATTGTGAATTTGATAACATAATGAAAGTGCATTTTACAAAGATTTCGTAGTATTTTTCGGTAATTTTTTTGGAATTAGGACGAGTTTTTTTTTGTGAATTTTGGATATGTAATTTCAAAGACTTGGACTGGGTACGTGGCCAAACACAAGAATCGAGCGGCCGGGTCCAAGTAGAGAGGTCCTACCCAAACACCGAGTTTTGGTAACTGGAGTGCATTTAATATGTGGTGATGTAAAATTAATTAATTAAATAGGATTGAAAAGGAAATGAAAATGAAAATTAAGGGTGATTTTGAAAATTGAAAACGAAATCTGTCCCCCAACATATTTTTTAGTTTTTAATTTTCAATAAAAGCAAAGATGAAAACTAAAAAATCAAACAAAATGATTATCAAATAACCCCCTAAATAAATATGAAAACAAGAAAGATGTGTCAAAAAAATCAAATACAATTTACCAAATCTTTGACACATCTTTCTTGTTTTATTTTTCCTTGAAAAAATAAAAGAAAACATGATTCATTCTAAACATGGTTATTTAATTAGGAGAATTATTTGGGAAAAAAAAGGAAGAAGGAAAAGTACTTCTATATATTTATCTTTTACACTATTATATAACATCAAAATTTAATTGTTAGTGTAATGTTTAGATTTTAAAAATATTATCGATTTATCTAATTAGAAGAAAAATTCATATGATTTATTTTATAATCGGGTACAATGTCATCAAATAAAAATGTATTTGAAGTGCAAGTAATGTGATTTAAATTTAAAGATCAACTTATATATGTTCCCTCAGAACCAACCACATAAATGATTTCAACCAAAAAATAAAAAAACCACATAAATGATTCGGGCTTGGTCGGCCCCATTAGTTCATGGGCCTCCTCAGGCACATAATGATTGGTTTTAGGCCTTCTTCTGGCCTTTTGGGCCCTATCACTTCCCTAAGTGATGAGGGATGGTTTGGTTATTTTTGTCAGGCCTGGCCGCCTGGTCGTGTATCAACATATTTAAACTCCCCCCCCTCTCTCTCTTTTCCTTCTTTCTTTGATGACAACGAAGCCCACCCTCCTTCCCTCTCCCTCTTTTTCTCTCTTTCCCCTCGCTTTCTTCAAGAACAAAATCCAGATCTGGGCTTTTTTAAAAAGAGTTTTCAAGGTTTGAGTGTGGCTTGGCTATCAGCCATGGGGGGCAGTGCGGTGGTGGATGGTGTGGGTGGTAGTGGGGCGGTGGGGCTGGAGTGCAGAGATGGGCTGAATTTTTTTTTGTTTTTGTTTTTAAAATATTCATTTTAAAGAATTCAAACATCCATTGAAAAAAAAATATATATTGAAAATGGAGCTCAAGTTGGAAAATTAAGTAAAAAGGAAAATAAATAATATCAAAGAGAAGTAAAAAGAAATTAATGCAGGTAAGGGTAGAATAGGAAATAGAAAGAACAAAAAAGAACAAAATTGATTAAAAAATAAAAGGAAGTGTAAATGGAGAAAATGAGAGTAGGAAAATCATTTATAAAATGGTTTATAAAATGTATTTTATAAAGTTTTATAAATCACTTCTTCTCCTATGCGTACGTTCTTTTCCTTTTCTTTGAATTTTTTTTAATGGTTTATAATTTTCAAATTATTTTTTATTTAATCCACGTGGCGTCATATAATTGGATATGTGAGATCCACATGTGTGTCATATCATCAATTTAACATATTTTTGGACATAATTTGATGACAAAGACTACTTGTGAGCACACATATTCACCTTAAGAACCACGAATGACTCAAAAATACATAAATGATGCAATATGATAGTTTTGTGAATCTCAGAGATGTTTTGTAATAAAAAGCTTTATTTTTTCCAAAGTTGAAAATCTATAACTACCTCTTTATTATGTTCCAAATGTGACTTTTCTTTCTTCTAGTCAACACAAAGATGCAAAGTCCTAGTATCTAAGAACGTAAAAGTAGAAGGGTCTCTTTGCTTCATTCAGGTATAAAGAAATAACCAGTAGTGCATGTATCATACAGCCAAGAGCTTTAGTAATTCACTCCGATATGTTGTTACACAGTGAATTAACTTCGCTTGATGAAACTGGCTTTAAACCATGTTTTAGAGCAGCCTTCCATACAACGTCGATTCTGTCGACATCAAGAGCCCCAACTTCATGGTGAGTCCAGCCTTCTAGCAGATGAACCACGCCACCAGCATGACATGCATGAACCACTCCTCTGTCCATGGTGTACTACATTGCATTTTCCAATATTACCAAAAATTATCGTCAATGATTGCTAGGTTTATATAATTGATAAAAAATTTAGACGACATATTAAGAGGTTATATGTGATTATGTCACATAATGAGGTGGCTAAAGACACTATTAGTGCCTAATAGTATAATTGATACGAATAAACGTGAATGTTAGCTATTAGGCATTTATAATGCTTTTAGCCATCTCATTTTGTGTCATAGATGTCAGTGGCTATTAAACGCGCCGACCATGTGAATCAAGCCAATGTTACCCAACAAAAGTCTTAAAAACTAATAAGAAAAAAGTCTTAAAAACTAATAAGAAAAAAGCTTAGTTACCTCACAGGAGCCAAGCCCTTGAACATCATCAGGTAGTCTCATGGCTGCAAGATCACCATAAGTGCAGTCTCTTCTGAAATGCAAGATGGGTGGCACAACGAACTGATGAAAATGTGCACCACTTGGGGCCCAACGTTGCTCTCTTGGTGTGATCCATTTGCCAACAATCCATGCCTGCCATTAATTGGTACCAACAATAATTCATATTAATTAGACTCACAAACAAATACTCATGCTTTATTAGACCAAAACATCGTACAGAACTTTATAATTAAGCACTATGATTATAAGGTGTCTTAAGTTTAAGGGCAACGTACACATATAGGGCTGCAGTTGCAGGATGTGGCAAACAATAATCGCTTACCTTACAATTGCGGGCAGCTTGGTACTTTGTGACTTGGACAAGGTAGTGTTGACAATCTGCTGGCGCTTCCTTCTGAATCTTTTGAAATCTCTCTGTTGATAGAGTCAGCATCTGGGCCATACATCATTGATTAATTAATAAACCCATGAAAAACTATAGCAATTAATCAATTTCCTAGAAGCACTTAAGACTTTTTTTGGAGGAAAAAAGTGCTTCTACAGAAGAAGTGCAAAACGTGCCCTAACATGAACACATGATCACCTTCATAAGTAAATGATGAAAAAGGAAAAAGGAAATAATATACTTACAAGGACTCGAACTTTCCTACGGCAAAGGTAGAGGGCAATGGCTCTTCCAAGCTTGGAGGTAGCTCCACTTAGAAACACCTCTTCGACATCCTTGGGGATCTCGTTGAGAATAACAGCTGCAGTTAAGGTGTTCCCATGGACAACTCGAACTCTAAGGTCTGGATGCTTGTTCACAAAGAGTGTTCCACCCCCATTCAGTCCTTCGTTCTACAATAAGAAAATGAACTGTTAAATTAATATTTTAAATTTGAATTTACTTTTATTGATTTATTTTTACATTCCAAATTTGAGGACTAACAACCTCAACCTCCTACTCATGTCATTCATCTTGCCCGCAACTTGTGGGAGGATGTTACCTCTCTTGCTAGGTCAGGTCAAGAACATGAATGACCTAAAGTTTTGGTAAAAATAACAATAATTAAATAAAATTAACCATATTCACATTTTTTATATTCAACCAAAACAAATTTCACATTTTAAATATGTTAAAGTGGCATTTGGTTGGTGCAGAGTGTTTTGGCTTGTCGTACTTTTTTAGTTTCAAAGGATCCATCACGAGTCTTAAATGCTAATGTTTACGTGCAGCAAAACATGTGCATTCGTTTTTGGTGTGGGGTGTTTGGCAGATCAGAAATTTCATTCAGAGAGTTAATATCACTACTGCCAACAACCAAACTCAGAATTCATCATACTGGATTAAATATTTTAAACTCCGAAAGATAACTGATACCAACCTTATTTAATGCAGCAAGGCTGATGACCTTGACCCCCATCTTGTCAGCTCTAAGGATTGCTTGCTCTATTTGCTTATTGATACCGTCTAGGGCAAATGGTAAAAAGTACTGCAAGGTAAAAAACAAAATTTTTTTTAATAGAAAAACATTGCATTAATTAAAATCACAAAATCACAAAATTTTAAAAAAAATATTACGAGGGCAAACCTGAAAGCCATATCTAGGCACAGCCCATGTCTGGTGCAAGCGGCCTCTGAGGTTGTAAAAGGTAATTAAAAAAGTTTTAGCCCATGCCCACATTGCTAGCATGGCTACTATGCCGGAAGGCCAGAAACCCACCAAGAAGAATCTCATGGTGAAGGGCAGTGATGAGAA